TTGTGAATAATTGGTCTAGACGGAAAGAATTAAACCGTATTAATTTTAAATTCAAAATCTTGCAAATTGAAATAGTTTTGTATGTAACTAGATATTAACTTACATATAGAAATTTTTGGCACAAGTACTCCGCTTAACTTCACTCGGTACCTACATTATTATTTAGCGAACCAAAAAAATATGTATTTCTTATATATGTAACGGAGAATAGTATCGGGTGCATAAGTGTAGTATGGCGGCGAGACCAGAATACCATGCATATGGGGAAAGTCATTCACCAAGTAGTGGCCAAAAACCAATATTATGCGTCCGTTTTAAGCAGCTCACGATTTACAGTGTTCACATTGGGCACCCACCGGGTAGCAACCAAAACCCACTCAAAAGCGAGCTACTTGTGAGAAAGAAAATACACAGCAACAGTTGGTGCGATGGGTCCCCAGATCAAGAAATGGAAACCAAAAAGATAACGTTGTGATAGACGGAAAACACTAGGGATGTGACCGGTATCCGAAATCCAGCTTATCCGACCGTCTTTTTGTTATCCGACTATCCGACCAGATACTGGCCAGAATCCAGCCAAATTTCAAGAATTCCAATTATAGAAGACTCAAATTAAAAATCAAGTTAAAAAAAAATGTTGCTTTTATTTTTATAATAAAATTTAGTAGTGTCTATTTAGTAATTAAAGTTATAATTTTTTAAGTTTTACATTATGAAAATAAACATTTCCGATTTATATGGCCACAACTTATTTCTATTTTCAACATAAATGCGTCTCCTTGCACCAAACACTCTTTCTGATTTAAATGAGGAAGATGTTGCATACTTCATTGCCAGTGTAAACAAATTTGAAAATTCTTTGCGACTATGCTTCACCTAGCTTAAAGAATCTTCTTGCATGGATATAAGAGGTATTTGTGAATATTACTCCATTTCTAAATCGCTGTCTTGTTTCTTGTACGGTCGCTGTCTTGTCTACCCATCGTTTGGCTATCCACATCTCTACAAAAACTAGAATCAGTATATCAGAGCCGTTGGCGATTTTCTCAAAGCATTGCCAAATATTCTGGTGAACTCCCTCTTCAATAGAAGCTTTCACGAGAGTTCGGACTTTTCATATAATTCAACTGGTTTCTCCATGTTAACTGATTTATATTATCGAATTTGTTTATCATCAATACAGTTTTTAAATTTATTGATGTCCATTCAGCTCGAAAGAGCAGAAAATCTGATCAAAATAACATATGTCGGTGAAAAAAAACAATACTACAATATTGTGAAATTTATAAAGGGCAGCAGTCTATTGGCTATCCGATCGGATATCCGAATCCGGCTCTTATTCTGTACCAGGCACATCCCTAGAAAACGCAGTATTTTATACATACGCACACTACGAGGGTCAACAATTCCGATTTTCCGTAACAAAAAAAAGATAGGCAGATATACGGCAGTGTGAGGAGCTTTAAAAGCTAGGCGGCAAGAAGCACACCCGAAAATTAGTCGACCTACGGCAGATTTAAAGGTTTTCGTGAACCCCTATAAGAACAACCACGGCGATCTATTGGCCTTCTCTGCTATAAAATGACCTGGCGGATAGGAACTTGGCTGCATTAGATATTTCCAATCTTCGCCAGTAGGCTCGGAAGAAAAAAAACTGGCATGATATATTGAAGGAGCATTTTGCTGTAGCATCGTAAAGAAGTGCTTTCATTTTGGGTGAAGACATGCTAGATGGATTTTTTTTGATAAAGGGGAGTTGCTTTCTACACTTATCTTTTTCTTGAAACTTCCACCAGAGGGCGCAACATTAAACATTTTCACATTATTTTCGAAACCTATTTTCGCAATTTGGCAAACTCCAAATTGATTTTAGATCATGGTTTCTTCGCCAAATTTGATTAGAATTACTTGTAGAACTCCCATAGTTACAAAAAACTTACCCCCTAATATACCTATGTGTATATTATACATATACGCAATGGTATATTTATTTTTCTGAGAGTATGTGTATATTTTAGCACAATTCCTTACCACATGCCATTATGTGCGTTTAGGTATATACAAATGGTCGTTAAATTACAAAACCGCGTATCAAGAAAGCGCAAAACCTGGTATGGGAGGTTGCCCAAATTTTATAGAAGAAAGCAAAACATGTCTTATTTAAAAACGGTTGTCTCTTTAATCCCTAAATATCTTTTCTTCTTATGTCTAAGTATCGATATTTTAGTATGAATGAATAAGGCCTTGATGCCAGTAGCTTCCGGAGGTTTCGCAGAAACAAGATACGCGGTTTTGTCTTTTCAACGACGATATGTATGTATTTATGTGTATTTAAAATTGTATGGTGTAATGGGTATGCACATATGGCATAGCTTTCGTTTTTTGTGCCTTTTGTGCTCTTACATCTTTTCTCTGCTTCGACTTCTATTTACCTAACTTTCCGCTATTATTCTTTAGCTATGATTTTATTTATTTTTCCGTTCTCCAACGCTTTGCTTTTTTAAATCAGATTTGCTGCGCTGGGACGCACGCTCGCGTAAAAATGTTTTTTTTTTTCTCGCTTACCATTTGGCTAACACACGTGCGGAAAATTCATAGTATGTTGGCTGCTTCTTTTGTGATTACCCGTAAAGTAGTACAAAGAGGTACAGTGTGGAAGATATCTGTCTCAATTTTAAGGTTTACTAGGTGAAATTTATTATCTAATGAAATAAATGGGAAGGAGGAAAATATCTTTATAGTTCTTCTTCAAGAAGTAGACTTTCCTAAAGAGAAAAAGGACTTTTGTGTTATTCACGCATCAAACGTACCACGTCTGTGGCGGCTGATGTCCGACACAGTTCTGGATTAGTTACTTGAGCTGTCAAAGAAATTATTTCTTATAATATTAAAAAAAATTTGTTGTCAAGAGTTTGAGAAATTCTTAGGTATGAAATGAAAAAGTTTAACAAAAAGCTGTCATTCATATTTTAAAAGAATATTTTAAGAAATGAGTTTAAACATTTATCAGCTTTTTGTTTGTTAAAGTACTTCTTCTAGGAAGTTTTAAAAGATATAATCTTTTAGATGGTATAGATTATATCTTTTCTGCTACGGCCTTTAAGAAATTATACCAGTATTAACTTAAGTGACGCTAGTCCTGCCCTAGTCTTGAAAAACACAAAATCTGGTGAAAATTATTTTCTATTGCTTTCATACGTAGTTCTATATGTATGCATATATATATATATGTACTTTTATGCGCTGTTTTATACATACAAATATTTGTATGTGTGTACACATATATTTTCGCTTTATCCGCCATGTAATTCGCTTAGCTTTGCAGCATTCGACACACGAGCAAGCAGATTTGCTATTTATTTTGTGGTTAGCACTCTTTGCGTTCATTTTGACGTTCTGTTTTTATTATTTTTTTATTTAAGGAGGAAAAATGCTTAAAGTAAATTTGTAATATTATTATATTTAAAACCGATAGCTCAATGTATTTTGGAAATTCAGAAGAGATTGGTAATCAGCATTTTAGATACTTACAGCCGATTTCTCTGTGTATGTTTAATTATAATCAAAAGATTATCTCTTCTTATCTGTTTCTCAGTGTACTTAATCGATGATTAATAATAATAATAATAGATTGGCGCTTAGCGGCGCTGCGGAGTGAAAGCGCGCACTGCTTACCACTACACCACAGCGGCCGACGATCGATGATTTACTCATACTTAATACGCCAACATTGAGCAGTCAACTATTGATTTACTAATTATTTGTTAACTTATACTTTTTTATCAACTGAGAAATCGGCTGTAATTAATAAAGGCCTAATTGACCTTATATACAGTTTTAATAAACAACATATTTGTATGTATTGACTCTACTTCTTAACCGCGTTTCTGCTTTCTAGACACAATTACTCTACTTTTACTCCAATTAAGACAGTGCATTTTGTTTGCGAATGTGTTTGGTTCCGAAATTTTCATTTAACGTTCTGCTAAAAGACAAAATAATTTTTTTTTTTCGAAAGTTATTCAAAATTCTAAATTTCACAATTTCCCGGATTGGCAAGCTAGTTTTAGAATATCAAAAATATTGTAGCAACGAAAATAGTTTTGCTCTCATTTTAAAGGTCATACCTATGACTATTTGGGATTTTAGAGATTTTCGGGATTCTCGGGACTTATTGATATAATAACCGATGTTTTTATCGATTTTGTTATAGATATTTTTATAGATTTTGTTATACAAATTTTTATCGATTTTGCTATCGATATCTTCGCAGCTTATCGATATAATAGTCGATATTTTTAACGATTTTTTATCGATATTTTTTATTGAAATTTTTATTTATTTTGTTATCGATATTGGTACAGAGTTTGTTATCAATATTTTAATCGAATTTGTTATCGGTATTTTTATTGAATTTCTTATCGATATTATTTTCGATTTTGTAATCGATATTGTCATTGATTTTTTATCGATTACTTATCGATTTTGTTACCGGTTATTAATAGATTTTGTTATCGGTTTTATTATCGATTTTGTTATCTATCATTTATTGATTTTGTTATCGCTTATTTATCAACTTTGTCATCGATATATTTTTCGATTTAGTTATCAACATTTTTATCAATTTTTGTTATCGATTTTGTATCGGTTTGTTATCGATATTTTTGTCGATTTTGTTGTCGATATTGTATCGATTTTCCAATCAAGTTTGCTACCAATATTATTATCGATTTTACTATAGGAGTTTTTATCGAATTTGTCTTCGATAATTTTATCGATTTTGTTATCGATATTTTATTGGATAAAGATAAAGAAAACAGAATAACATAATGGTAATTAGAAGGAACAGGGGTAGAGGTAAGGATCTAGATAGAAAAAACACAAAACAATATAACCTTAAGCAAAAGCAGACGTACGTGTGTATGTACATATGTATGTTNATACCTATAAATAATGTATAGAAATGTTTTTTCCAACTAAATATTATGTTTTCATTACAGAGACTGCAGAGTAGTGCGCGATCCACAGACGCTAAAATCGAAAGGATACGGTTTTGTTTCATTTGTGAAGAAATCGGTAAGTCTAATAGAAATCAAGTAAAACAATACCAAATCTAATATAGTACAAAAATACAATACCGCTAAATATAAGAGAAACAAAAAATAAAGTTTCTTCAATGACGTGGTAGGGCGTGGCATCCAAGAAGAATAAAGAGGTGTGCTAAATTTAAATCATTCTTTTGTCATACAGTTGGTGCTTAGTTTAAAATTCTGTCTAAACAAAATTTTGCAAATACATTTACAAAAGCTGAAAAACGTATGAAATCAAACGCATAACAATATAAAGAATTATACATATGTAAATAAAGGCGAAGCATTAAGACATTTTACTTTTTCTGTTTTCACATTAATAATTTAAAATCTTTGTGAATGTATGATGAGCACATTCGAAACTTTCTTATATGTATTAACACGCAGCCAACTCTTCTGCGAATACAATTCTTCCTTTTGCATAGTAGGGTGTTAAACTGACAACAAGGCGCAGCTGCGAAGCCTTCTGCTTTCCCAACCATACAAACGATACACCCCGCCCGATAGACGTCCGTCAGTCGGTTTTAAAACGCATTGCACGCTCAATCGTCAGCGGCCCGGCAGCTGTAAGGGCTGTCAGTCTACAAAGCTGACAGTGGGACTGTTTAAGCTCTGTGCCTAGACTGGCAGACTCGGTGGCTGTCAGTCACACTG